ATACTAATTTTATCTTTTTGTAAATTTGTTTATTCCTTCTTATATTAATTTTTTTTCGCTATTTCCTACTTTTCAATTTTTGCAAAAATTTCTTTTTCCATGAGAGTATTTTTCTTCTATTTTGCAACTTTATCCTTTTCTTTTCCCTTTTTTTCTACTGTCTCTCATACTTATTAATATTAACTTAGCAATAATAAATTAATTGCTTGTCAATCACTGAAGATCACAAACAAATTAGTATGTCTATCTTGATCAATTACTATAAAGAAGCATGATACTTGTGACAAATTCGTGATCAACAATATAAAAAATACTTTATTTGTGAAATTTAAAAATGTTCAAAATTTTATTATCTCGGAGCTACTTTAATGGATCTACACATATGTACAAACCTTTATATTTTACATAGCATATAGGTTGCATGAAATGCACATATAGCTTGCAATTTTTGGAAGAAGAAACCACTGTTTCTATGAAAAGATCCCATAATACTAAAATACTCGTGTAAAATTTATATTAAAGAAATTAAATTGCAAGCAGTAGGAGAAAGTTGGTGATACGACAAGGGATTAAACAAATTAAACCGATAATACTAACACCGTCTAATTTTTCTCATTGACAACAAAATATTTATTGACAAAATCAACGCAAAAAACGATCAGAAATAAAGTTATAAAACCCTGAATGAATACAAAACCCTTCCTGTCTGTAATCACCAGAAGGAGGTTAATTACGAACAGGCCGGGGTAAATACGAACGAGCCATTTTTCCGTTTCTTTGCAGAAAGTGCAGACAAAACCTGCTGAAAAACTACCTCCGCTGCATTCTTCGTGTGCCCATTTTTTGACATGCTAAGTATAAAATGCAGTCTTCTGTGGATGGATCGCAGAAACGGTTGGTTCCCGTTGGAATGTTATACATTTCGACGAAGCGAAATATATTTTCCCTTTAATCTTTGTATCGCTTTTGAAATTCCAAAAGTGTTTTTTTCCATCTTGTACGTAGTTTCCGTAAACAGTCCAAACGAACGTGAAATTGAGAAATAACAAGTTAAGTATAGGTATTCGCTCATTGAAAACTGTTACATTATATTATTCTCAGGGTGTTCTAAGGAAGGGGCTTCGATGTATCTGCACACCAGTTGCCAGTGTTTAAATATACGTGACACTATGGAAACTAGAATCGCAGGGGGTCGAATTGAATTTATTCGACATTTTTAAGGGGTTTTACTCGTGTTTCCGTAGTCGCTGGTCGCCGTGATCAAGTGCGTACGATTCCATATATTCTCCGGTGATCGTCGACGACCTGTTCAACAGTGTGTAACGGCTCTAAATCTGTGTGATTTAGCGTGAAATGTTTAATACTGAGAATGGTGAAAACACACGCGTGAAACGAAGAAAGGAAAGAGAGTGGGACAAGTGTATATCACTGTATCTGGTATTATTCGATCCACATTTTCCCCATGTCATGTGTACATATATTGTTCTCGACGTATATTTTAAAAATCACTCGCACTTTCAATTACTGCACCGTTGTAAATTAAAAAAAAAAAAAAAAAATTCTGCGAAACGTTGCGAATTTTAGGATTTCCGACAGTTCTCCTGGGTATTAAGCTTATTAATGAAAGCATCTGGTGTCTTTCGCTTTTGAAGCTAAATGTGGATCATAAAGCCGACAAGATCCTCGTAAGCATTTCTCGCATATAAATGTCACGGAAATTTCTCCGTTCTGCAACGCAATGTCGCGAAAATATGTACGGTAATGCTTTGGAGTTTTCCTCTAATTCCAGAAACGCATTCAAATTTCACGATTTTTACAAAATCTCGGAGTACCTACAGAACATGTCTTTTCTTCCTTCCTCCTTTATCCCTTGCAGCTGCTCTTTCTCATTTGTTTTTGTTATTTTCTATTGTTACGTTAGTGTTCTTCATATACACTGAGAATTTATTCTCGTGTATGAAATAAAGATAAATATGATAATAATAATGAGTGCCAAACCAATCAACACCATATTTTGAATTCTTTTTAATTTTTTAAAATTTAATTGACTCAAATTTTTACATTTAAAATAAACTTTCTTAATAATTGAGTTTAACACCATTAAATGACCATGCCTTTTTGGTCGGTCAATAATAAATAATTTATTTTAGAAATCAATTTGATTAACTCAATAGTTTAGTGCAAGACTAAAGTTTGTAAGAATTTAGCTAGTTGAGTAATTTTTTAGTACAGTAGTATATATTAGATGTTATCTGAAGCAAACTTTCTGTGTTGTAAAAAGAGTAGAATTTCAAAAAAAAGTATGGTATTCCATCACTTAAAGATTGACCAAAATAATTCATTTTATTCCAAGTGTCAAAATCCTACATCAAAGTCCTACAAAATCAGACAATTCAAATATGATTTTAATGAAAATGCAGAATTTAGCGCCATTAATATTAAAAATTAATGTAGATCACTAGTTCTGAAAAATGTGGACCAACCTTTGTTAGGTATAAGCTATTAATATCAATATTCTAAAGGCAGAACAGTGACAAAAAAAAAAAAGAAGAGAAATTCATTCCTCCTAGTAAACATGATTGTTGTAGAAATTTAAAAATAAATCGAATTGATGATAGTTTTTATTAATTTTTTCTAAAATTAACCAATGAAAATTGTTCTTGAATCCAATTATTTTCTTTTTTATTTTCACTTGCCAAATCGATTAATTCACCTAATGAGTCACGCGAATAATTATTACTCCAAAGATATACCATCTTATGCACTTTATACGTCGTTAGATCGAAATCTACGCTTGCAACAACACGTTCTGCAACGATTATTTGAATTTACAGAGACGTCTAAAGGGAATTTAAGAGAAAAAAAGCTATGTACGTGGAATTGGCATGCGAGAGGCTCAAATACAAATCTGAAAAGCAGTGTGTCCCTATAAACTCTGTTTCAGACGTAAATCATCGCTGTTCGATAATTTGGCGAATCAATTTGTCAAATTAATCGGCGCGCGACGTGCACGAGATTGTTGATGGTTTAAGCAGAGGTGTTTTCAAGGCCAGTCGTAGGCAACGACAATCATGTTTTTATGGTAATTCCCGGCAGACGTAAAAAAAAAAAAAAAAAAAAACGAACGCCCTCGATCATCCCTCGGTTGTAAAAATATCAATCATCACCGAGGGGAAATTTCACAATTATTCTCTCTGGCCGGCCGTGTTAATTATAATTTAATTATCGGCGATTGCCGCGGAATGGCGCGCGTAATAACGAATATCAATGATGAAAATTAGTTTTACCGTCTCGCGGAATGGAGGGGCTGAAATTTACGAAAATTCGTTTCGCCCGTCGATCAGATTTTTCCGTCATAACGTTACGGCCCCCCTTCGTTAGTTACGAAAACGTCCGCGCGCGATAATTAGGGGAAATATTTCGTGCACGATCTATCAATTATCACTCGTATTTCGGGACGCTGAGAATCGATAGCGTGAGAATGGTCGCGCGCGAGAGACACGAGGAAATCCGGCTCGCCGAATTTTCATCGACATCCGATTTTCCGGTCGCCATTAAATTAATGGTCCTCGATCTATGGCGGTGAACGAGCCGGCGCTGCGTTTTATTAAAACAAATCGCGGATCGTCGAACAATTCGAGGAGAATCGCCGCGGAGCATCTGGCCGGCGTTGGAAATTTATCGATGATCGCGATATTAAAAAGCACGCGAAACTCGGGGGGAGGCAAAGAAGCGGAAGTAAATTAAAATCGGCTTCACCGGTGAACAGGGGATCCTCCGCGCATTTAAACGACGCTTTTTTTTCGTGTCTTTTGCGTCGATTCGAGGCAACGCTCGTCGCGAGGTTTCCTCGCGAAATTTCCTCCCCTTGGAAAGCCACCACCGGAAAATATTTGCCTTGCTCGTTCGAGCTTTTTTTTTTCTCTTAAGCAAACCGCTCTCATCATCGCCACGTTCGCCTTGCTGTCTCTCTAATTCCCTCAGACTGTTGATCTTTCGTGTTAATCGCGCATCTTTGCCCCATCGTGCGAGACGCAAAACACGCATCGAATCGCAAATCTCGAGGAGAAAAGGCTCTTCTATCTACCTTTTATCATACCCGGGGCCGAATTCTTGCACGAGGAAAAACTTCGTGATTCGCCGAGTTTCGCGAATAATTCACGAGACGTGTTCGGATAGGGTCGGAAGATTCAAGAGGACGTACTCTGCAGGGAATAAGGATCGTTCCTTTGGAAATCGTCGGCATCGTAAAGCTCACGACACTGGTGAAACACTGCGAGTCAGTGGCCTCGAACCGAGTCTTTTTCGTGAACTTTGCGACTCTCGAGTGGTGATCTCGCGTCATAACCGAGGAGATGATTTGTTAATCGTAAAGAAGATCTCAGCCTACAGTGTCCTACCCGTTTGAGGGACAAAGTTGCGAGATACGAATTCATTTGGTAAAATTAATACAGAATTCCGTAACAAAGGAGGTCGCGTTCAACGTTAACGCCTGCCACGTTCCGAAACGAATGATCGAGTGTTTCCTAGAATGCAGCAACCTGTAGCGGGACGGGAGCACGTTAAATAGTTTGGCCCGCGGCATTTTTTCGGGAGACTGATGGCAGAGGATACCGCGGCAAAGGTCAGGAAGATTGATGAAGGCTGGAATTGTGGCAACGGAGGATGTGAAACGAGAGGTTGGAGGCGGCGCGCGGAAGCGTTCGTCCTCTCGTACAGGATTTCGCAATTAGCCTGCCTGGCGGGCTCGTCAAACACGCGGCCAAAGGATCCAAAAAAAGAGGTGGAACACGTCGATTGCGAGAGGCGGCCGGTTATCTTCTTTTCATATCGCTGTCGACGCGGCTTTTGTTTCTCGAGCAGCGGACTAGCACCCCCGCTCGTTGACAAATCGATAGGGAAGCACATACACACACACACACACACACACAGAGAGAGAGAGAGAGAGAGAGAGAGAGAGAGAGAGAGAGAGAGAGAGAGAGAGAGAAAGAGAAATTTACCTTTGCCGAGGATTTCGTCGACATCATCGTGCGACGAGGATCCGGAACAGGACACCTCCGATGCATCCTGCGCGAACGAAAAAGGAGAATGACGCGTCGCCTGTGTTTCGCGACAGAGGGCAAATTTCGTTTCCCTTGGTTGGTCTCCGCGCCGATGAAAAGCTGGAGAACTCGATTGTCGGTGGAAACGCGCGAAACACGGGCTGTTGTTGTTGTTTTTTTTTTTTTTTTCTTTTTTTTGNTTTTTTTGTTGAGTTTAAGAGCCTTTCTCTCTACGCGCTTCTTCTTGCCTCAATAGCTCGAGAACGATCGAAGATCCACTGTTTCGATATACCTGACTTTTTATCCGCGAAAACAATGTAGTTAGGAAACTGCAGATCGTTTGTGGCGCTGTTGGGTAAATTCCGGTAATTGGAGGGTTGCTTTCGTGATTTTTAAACTTTGCCAATTTATCCTGATTTTTCCTCCGCCCGCAACAACTTCCGCTCTTGAACGAAGGAAGGCTCGAGAGCGAGCAGTCCCTCGGAATATCTTGCCGATTTCGTCGCCGTTGATCGACGCGTCGTTTCTCCCAACCACTCGAATGCTCGGCGAAATTTCTATCGGGCGGGGCTAATTCTTCGAAGTGGCTGCAGTTTGCATTTGATCGCGAAAATTAAACGGCAACAGCGTCGCCTCGTAGCTTCGTGAGTTTCGCGATTACGGCAGCCGGCAAACCATATCGAGAAGCAACAAATTGCCCAGTGAGCTCGCGTTGAACAAAACCTCCATCGCCAAGACACTGAAGTGAACCGCTTGCGTTTCGCGCTCGAAAATCGCTACCATATCGAACCAGCGAGTTTGCGCAACCATGTGAGTATCCAGACGTTTACGAGTTACCGTGTCGCGTGAATGTAGGTAGGTACAATCCGAACAACGCCATTAACCCTGTAATTAATGCTCGTGCGTACCTACACGCGGACGGGTGAATTTTGAATGATTACAAGCAATTGTGTTCATTGGCCGATTCGACTTGCAGATAAACGGAAAATTGCCAACGGCGATGATCAATAAGGAGACGAAGCTGCAAATTCGTTTCAAAGGAGCATGCAACTTTGCCACAGGCTGTTCCCGTTACGCTTTGTTAATATATTTGGGAGATGATTCCCAATGAAAAAAACCTTTTTATCCATCATCGTTTTCCGACAGTTGGAACATTATTCCACTATTTGTTGAAATGTATGCAATTTTTGTTGAAATTACGTGAAATCGAGGCGATGTGATTTAAGTGAATTGAGAACAAAAATCAGAGAGATCTTGTTAATACTCAGTGAATTCACGAACCACAATGCGAACGAGTATAAAAATCGATGTAAAAAAATAGCTTGAAACAAACATGACTATTATATGAAATAGCTCAAATATATCTGATCACTTGTAGCTTGTGCTATTTTCCCCTTCGAAGACGAATCGACCAATGGTGTATACAACATTTTTCCCTCAAAGTCTGACCCTGCATACATAAATCAATTAAAAAGGAACAATTAGCCCTTCATTTTCCTTATCTAGCAATTTTAGTCTGTTGAACACGAAATCGCCAAACATCATTGGTCTAATCACTGGACTGCGGATCTTTGTGCAAAAAGGCACAGTGAAAAAACGATGGGACCCGAGTTGAAATTCTTCTCCACCGTGAAATATATCGCAACAAGTCCTCCCATTCCGTAGTCTCTGCGTAAGTTAAAATTTTCTACACGGATGCATAAGAATCGGCGACGTATTAACCACGACGCCAGGATTCCGGCAACCGTTCCACCACCTCGACTCGGGGAAATCTTTTGCGCGCTTTTCGCACAATAAATTCGTCTCGCTGATTAACGATATTAACCGTGCTCCACGGCGTTGAGTATTCTAATTACGAGGCCGACACGGTCGGACTGTCGTTGGAATTAGCAGAGATAGCACGATGGCGGCGATGTCACGTGCGGGGCTAGATAGTTTGGCACGAATAAATCGCGCCCCCGGCGCGCTTACAACGAATTCCAGGCTAGCACCGGCGTTCGTCGAGGCTTCTCTAATTCACCAACTTTTGTTCCGCGCGTTAGAAGAGCCGATTCCCTTAATGGCAGCTGACGCCCGGAGCGCGACGTTTCTATTTCGTTCCGACTGTTCGTAATTTCGCTAGAGCTGAAAACACCTGAGGAACAATGGCGGGATAAAGACGTTGCGCCGCGTGTCGACGCGAGGCAGGCAACTGAAAAGATAGCTCGTTATCATAGGGAACTTGCCAGAATTTCCAGGAGGCAGAGACTTCGGAAACTTCGCCGTTCTTCTGAATAGCACTGCTACAAAAGGACGTTTTCACGAGGAATCAAAGCGCGAATCGAGTGACTTTACCTCCGCCTCCTCCTCCAACCCCTTCGAGTGGAAACACGCTTAACGCGTGTCACCGTGTGACGAGAAGAAAAAGGGAAAAAGAGAACGAAAAGAAAGAAAGGAAAACGATCGTTCGCTAGTTGCCACGCGGGGCGGGAACTTCTCAGTGTCTCGCCAAACTGTCTGTGTTTCAACCGAATGAGAAATACGATATTCCATTTGGATCTTTTGTTTTGCTTCCATTTACCTGGAATATTTCATCTCGCCAGAGATATAATGGATTCGTACGGTTAAAAAAAAAAAAAAAGAGAAAAAAGAGAAGAAAAATGAAACACCACGTACGATACTCGTTCGATCGTGTGATCTCCCGGTCTTCTATCGAAACGGAAACGAAAAAAGAGAGAGAGAAAAAAGAAAAACGAATCTCGAAACTCGATCGGACGATATTAAACGAGACCCGTTCGGTCGACGGATTAATGGGTCGAATGTGTTTCGCTAAGTTGTTAGTTTTGTCGTCGGATGAGATTCCGGCAAAAACGGACGAATCGGAAACCGAGCGAAACTAACTGCAAGCTGCCGCCCATTCGCGATGGCCGACGACGATGGCACGATGATTCGAAGGAACTTCGCCCGACAAACGTGAAAATTGCAGAACGAATTATCAACTACGCTTCACCAAGTTCCGATGCTTTCGCGGATAAGAAACTCAGAAACTAAACTTCCTGTGAAACATCGAAACGGGAACGTGTCGTGTTGGCTCGTGGAAGGTGATGATAAACCTGTGTACACGCCATGCCATGCAAACAGGACGTTGTCGAGATCATCATCGTTATCGTCGTGGACGGATGGCACGTCGGGAGGAGACGAAACGAGACGAAAATATCTCCGAGTGACCAAACGCACTGGTCGACAGTTGCGAGAAATGAAGCCGTCTGGTCGCTATTCTACGACCGTTGGCCGTGTAAATATGTTATTTGTCGAGCGTGCATTACGGTAGTCGGAAGATAACTTGATTCCGCTAAATCTCGATGAGAAAACCGAACAACGAAAATTTCAACTGAAGAGGAAAGACTCCTGTTTCTTTTTCTTTTTTTTTTTTTTTTTGCGTAAGTTGCGCCCTCGGAAAATTTGTCAGTGATGAACAAAACTGAACACGCATACGGCGTTTCAACATTAATCTCTTGCCCTGGCGTGTTGCAGTAAACGAAATTGCAATGTTTTCTCAGTGACAAGTATATTTAAGTATAACCCAGGCGAAACAAATAATAAATAAATTTATTGCTTCTTAATAACTTGTATCCAGTGACATCGTGCCAACGAGTACAAAAAGACAGCGACAAATTATTGTATACGATTTGGTCACTCGTTATGGTCCGCAATCAGTTGCCAGCGCAAGTGGTTAATGATATTTTATCGAGTGTCTGCACGTAGAAAAAAAAAAAAAACAGAAAAAAATTAAGTATGTACCGTCCCGCAGAATGTTTTGCATAAATAAAATAATATAAATTGCTTTGCACTCGCAATTAATCAATATTTTAAACCGTTGTAACTTTGTTAAAAAAAGATCATATAGCAATCTACTTGGCCTCACTTTAAAAACGTAAAGCTTCTGTTTTCGCTATCCTGAATTCGTTTCTTTTTTCATATTTTAACACCACGTAGTAAATGAAAAAGTGTTCTTTTCTTAAAAAAAAAAAAAAAAAAATACATATGTAAAAACACTGAAAAATTTTATTTACGACTAAATCCATCACGGTCTTGAAGATTAAAGTTTCCAATTTACAACAACCTCTTGAAACTTGTCGCACGATTTTCTTTTCTCATCATTTTATTGAACTTTGAACATTAGCGTTAAACAATAACAATTCAAAAAATCTCAATAATCTAACCCTCTCTAATGTTCAAAGTTCAATAAAGTTGCAAAAAGTTTAAAGAGCTCGTTGTAAAGAGGAAAATTTCAATTTTCATGGTCATGGTAGATTTGGCAATGAAAAATTTTTTAACGCATTTTCAGACGCGTTCGAATTTTTACAATTTTTAAGAAGAAAGTATCCTCACTTTCCCACCCGCCACATGGTATAAAAACATTTTTGCAAAAGAAACGAACTCAGGATTGTCAGAGTAAAAGCTTTACACTTGAAAACGAAACTAAGCAGACCGTTGTATGATCTTTCTTTGCAAAGTCATATTAAATTTCGTGCAAAGTTTAAATTATCGACAATTTTAATGTTTTTTACAAAATAGAAGTACTCTTACTTTGTCACTTGCTACATGATGTAAAAATATCTTTGACGAAAAAAACGAACTTGACACTTTACACTTTACAACGAGAAATAGATTCCCACATGATTCTCTTTTGCGACAATTTTTCGACAATTTTTCCTTATCGTGTGTTCAATTATGCTCCTTACTGTATCTACGTACGGAGAGAGAGAGAGAGAAAGAGAGAAATATGTGAACAAAAATAAACGAACATAACGTAGAAAATGTTGACGAAACGTTTGATGTTGAGAAATTTACACCAGAGCGATGAACGAAGGAGAAAAGGAAAACACGAAGCGATTCCACGGAATGGTTCTACGAGGAGAGACGATGATCTCAGCGTTGACGGTGAATTTTTTATAAAACAGCAGGATCAGCCTCAGAACGTGTGCTGTTGCGAGTAGAACGCGAGGAGGACACGATCCGCGGACGTGACGTTAATTTCAATCGTGGCACGTCGAATGACGTTCCCTTCTTTCACCTCTCCCTCCACCCCTTCCCGCTGGTTCGTTTCGGTACTCGCGTTAATCCCGGAGAAGAGGTGCAAACTCAGAGGAGAAGAAAATTGAATGGGCTGGCTGCATTTCCCCGCTGCAAAGTCGCCGCGATAAGATTAACAACGACTATATCGCCGCTTGTGTTCTGGACGTGACGAACGTTCTGGAAAATAGCAGGTACTCCCGCGAACGCACGGGGAGGGATCACTTCTTGAATTCCCGATGAGATTCTTTACGACGCGGCGTACATTTCGAGACGTTGCAAATTTCTCCCCCGTACCCGCTCGCGCCGCTTATGAAACGGGGTTCTCGTTCGACGTGCAACAATGTTGTTCCAAGGATTTTCCGTTGCTCTCAACCTCCCGCAACCTCCCCCTCCCCGCCGCCCCTGAACCGCGGGTGCGTTTTTGATTCGTCGTGAATATTTTTATACCTCTGGGAAATCTTCGTTGCGCGGATGATTTTCAACGTCCGCGACCCGTGGCCCGGCGTGGCACGAAGCGAGAGAAAGCGGACTCGTTGACACAGTCGATCGAACGCGACGCGTTTTCAAACGAGCGATCGTTCAGCCGTGCATTTCTTCGAAATATCACTGTTTCGCGGCTCGAGAGTCGTTTCCATTTCGCCACTCGACGACGTCGATACCATCGTGAAACTTACACCGACTAACCCGCTAACCAAAATGATATTCACGCTCGGCTGAACACGCGTTCGATCGGCGTGAGGGGGGCGAAACTGCGAAACTCCCTCGACTCGACTCGATAATTTCGCGCGTTTGTCGCGGCGCGCACGCACTGCACACGGCCACCCGAGCCCTCTCCCCCACGAGTTCGTTTCCTTCGGTGTTTGTTTGCTAAATTTAAACGTCGGCGCTTTCGTCGTCTCGCCCTCGGCTCCACGGAATTATTAATCCCTGTTGTCGGTCTGCCGGCAGTGACTGTGAACGAGACTCTGGCGGTTCGCGAATAACGTCAAAAAGGTGGGAACGAAAGGGGTGGACCGGCCACTCTTTGCGAACAAACAACGATAGGAAGAACGCGCGGGCATCTCGCGAGACGGAGCGCGTTCTGCGACCGCTTTCGTGGACGTTCGCCGCGCAACTGCCGCGGCCGAATGTTCACCGGATACTACATGTGCACGTTCCGCGTATTTGCAAGCCCCCGACCGGCGGGCATCGGTTGCAGCTGCAACCTCCTCCGGCAGCGTCCCGACGCTCCCCTCTTCCACACCCTCCTCCCCCTCA